CCCCAGACCCCCAAATCCCGGGCTGGGTGTGCGTCCCGTTGGAATTCTAACGGATTTCCTGGATTTTATTCCCGCTCCCGCCCCTCGGTGCTCAGGAGAGACAGGTAGCTTTTCCCTCTGGTGCAGGTAATGCTCCATCCCGGTTTTTTTTGGGGAGGAATTAGGTTTTTCTGGAAACTCCTGCTTCTCGGTGCTCGGAATTCCCTCGGGAATCTGCAGCCTCTGGAATTCCCATTCCAGAGGAGAGGAGATCCCGCATCCCACCCCCCCCATTTCCGTGCGCTCGCTCCTGGGCAAAACCTCGGGGGAAAAACTCGGGAAAAACTCGGGAAAAACTCGGGAAAAACCTCGGGAAAAACCTCGGGAAGGGGCTCTGGAATTCCACCCTCCGGGATCGGCTCCTCCGGGTGCACAGCCCTCTTTTCCCACCTCAAAATCCCATTTTATTTTTTTTTTTTGGTTTTTCCCAGCGCTCAGCAACGGAACACGCAGCCCAACAAGAAGAGAGCGATCCCCAACCAGGTACAGCCGGAATCTCCCGGAATTCCTGCTCCTCCTTCCTCCTCCTCATCCTCCTCCTCCCAGCCCATCCGTTCACGCGGAATTCCCGCCCGAAATCCGCGGGATTTGGGGAAAAGCGGGCGGGAAAACGCGGCAGAATTGGGGGGGTTGAGGCTGTGGGAGCTGGGACGACACCGGGATGATCCCAACCCATCCCATTCCCGAGGGAATTTTGGGATGAGCCCCTTTCCCCTCCCCTGCCTGGGAATGATCATTAATAGCATGTAACGGGTTGTTTTTGTTGTTTTTCCTGCTGTTTTTCCCACTTTTTTCCACTTTTTTTTTCCCTTTTTTTGTGCTTTTCTCCTCTCACTTCCTTCCCTATCCCGTCTCCTTTTTCCCGCTTTTATTTTTTTATTTTTTGGTTTTTTTTTCCCTTTTAATTTTGCACGCCCAAAGGGGGAGATCCTGGTAAGTACCACGGAGCGGGATGGTGCCGGGACAGCGTTCCCAAAAATCCCAAAAATCACCCCAAAAACGCCGTCCCCGCCTTTATCCAGCTGGGATAAAGGGGACAGAATTCCCAGATGGAACAGCCGGGCTGGAATTTGGCTTTTTCCCCCCTCAGGTTTTCCCAAATTTTGGGAAAAATTCCAAAATCGTTCTGAATTTATTCGGGATCATGCAGAGGGATGGAAAAAAAATCCCCAATTTTGTTCGGGATGATCCAGAGGGATAAAAAAAAAAAAACCTCTGGAATTTTCTCATGGTCATCCAGAAATGAAAAAATTCCAGAATTTTCTCGGGATCATCCAGATGGGTTAAAAAAATTCCCGAATTTTTTCGGGATCATCCAGATGGGTTAAAAAAATTCCCGAATTTTTTTGGGATCATGCAGAGGGATGAAAAAATTCCAGAATTTTATTGAGATCAATAGGAGGGATGAGAAAACGCCCAAATTTTTTTTCGGGATCGTCCGGAAGGATGAAAAAAATTTGGAATTTTTTTCGGGATCATCCAGAAATGCAAAAAAAATCCCAATTTTTTTCGGGATCATCCGGAGTGATGAAAAAATCCCCAAATGTTTTTTGAGATCATCCAGAGGGATGAAAAAATTCCCGAAATTTTTTTCAGGACCGTCCAGAAATGAAAAAAAATTCCAGATTTTTTATTTTTTAATCATCCAGAAATAAAAAAAATCTGGAATTTTTCATTGGATCATCCAGAAATGAACAAATTCCTGAATTTTTTTGGGATCATCCAGAAACGAAAATTTTCCCAAATATTTTCAGGATCATCCAGACTGATGGAAAGATTCCCGAAATTTTTTTTTTTTTTTTTTTGGATCATCCAGAACTGAAAAAATTCCCGGATTTTTTTTCGGGATCCAGGTGATTTCCGTGGGATCCTGGGGATTTTCCCGGGGATTTTCCTGATGATTTTCCCAGGGATTTCCCTTGGGATCCTGGTGATTTTCCCGGGGATTTTTTTCAGGATCCCGGGGATTTTCCTCGTGATTTCCGTGGGATCCTGGGGATTTTCCCGGTGATTTTCCCAGGGATTTTCCTGGTGATTTTCCCAGGGATTTCCCTCGGGATCCCGGTGATTTTCCCGGGGATTTTCCTTGTGATTTCCGTGGGATCCCGGGGATTTTCCCGGGGATTTTCCTGGGGATTTTCCTGGGGATTTTCCCGGTGATTTTCCCAGGGATTTCCGTGGGATCCCGGTGATTTTCCCGGTGATTTCCGTGGGATCCCAGTGATTTTCCCGGGGATTTTTTTCAGGATCCCGGGGAATTTCCTTGTGATTTCCGTGGGATCCTGGGGATTTTCCCGGTGATTTTCCCAGGGATTTTCCCAGGGATTTTCCCGGTGATTTTTTTCGGGATCCTGGGGATTTTCCTGAGGATTTCCGTGGGATCCCGGTGATTTTCCCGGGGATTTTTTTTGGGATCCCGGTGATTTTCCTGGTGATTTCCATGGGATCCTGGGGATTTTCTCGGTGATTTTCCCAGGGATTTTCCCGGTGATTTTCCCGGGGATTTTTTTTGGGATCCCGGGGATTTTCCTTGTGATTTCCGTGGGATCCCGGGGATTTTCCCGGTGATTTTCCCAGGGATTTTCCCGGTGATTTTCCCGGGGATTTCCGTGGGATTTTCCCGGTGATTTTCCCGGGAATTCCCGCAGGTGATCCGCCGGGGCTGGTTGACCATCAACAACATCAGCATCATGAAGGGCGGCTCCAAGGAATATTGGTTCGTGCTCACGGCCGAGTCGCTCTCCTGGTACAAGGACGAGGAGGTACGGGCGGGAAAATCCGGGAAAATTCGGGATTTGGGGGGAAATTTGGGATTTGGGGGGGAAAAAATGGGAAAATTTGGGCAGAAAAATGGGATTTGGGGGGCAAAAAAAGGGATTTTTGGGCAGAAAAATGGGATTTACAGGGGGAAAAATGGGG